AGTTAATATTACTGTACAACACTGTGTGATTTATCAAAATAAAATCTTATCCATAATGGAGTTATACTCTACCACAGTGCCCAATTTTTATACTTATGTCAGTAAGACAGTGGTGAATCTTGCACTGCCTTGGTGATAACAAAGCACACAAATTTCACTATGTCATCTTCTGTCCTGTTTAGAAAACTTGATTTTTTTCGTCTAAACATGGCTCATCCTAACCCCCCTTTTTTGTCTATTTTATGAAAAACGTGTTTTTCTGTGGTTGCGTAACCTATTACCTCAGATACTCTTTCTAGTTAAACTTTATTTCTACCCACAAAACATCTGTTGGACTCTGCTGTCCTTTTGTTTCCAAGCTTAATCAGTTATGCAATTCTTCTATAAATACTTGAACCTTTTCACTCTCCTAATTATTTAACAGCCAGTCCATCATTCCTGACCAATGTTACTTGCTCTTAGTTCCAATCGATTATTCCTGATCATTGTAGAAAAGTATGTTCACATCTTTAATTTATAATTTTGGTACTGTTGAAGTTGTAACCAGTTGAGAAGAATCCACGAAATAATAAAAAATAAAAACATGAGCTCAGCTTTTTTCAAATGTTTGGTCATCACTCATTAATAGAGTACTTTTAAGTTTACACCACCCCACACCATCATTATCACGTTTTTGCTATTTGACACCCTGGAACTTACGTCTAGTTTATCCCATTTGTAGGTTTATTTTGCTATAGTATTCATATTTACACAGAGAAATAAAAAGATGTAATTTGTCTGAATCGTGTATTGTGTATTTGCGCAACACATTTCGAACAATCTGATCACTTGTCATAGGAATACATATATAGGAAATTAACAAAGAGTTAAGAGGTGAAAAAATAGACACTTAGGTCAAGTTAAAAGGCCATCATATTGAAGGTGAAAATAACAATGAAGGGCAATCACTAAACCAAATAAGAGAGGTAATAGCACATCTACCCTGGATGGTATCAGAACAACGTTTACCAAGGACGGTAGGTTTAGTGTGATGACGAATTGTTACTTTGAACGTATAAAGGTGGTGTAAACGTCCTCATTGTGAGCTAGGGATTCGACAAACTTTAGGATACACCACAAACACGTTCTATAGATAGGTTTAAAAGATGTGTAAACATCAATTTTATGTCCTGTCTCCATAATATGTTCCGTAATAGAGGAGCAAGATCGCCTGTTTTCACCATTACTGGGTTCTGGGGATTCTATTCGCTTCTGAAGCCATTTAGCAATGTACTCTCAAGCCAGCCCTTACTTGCAGAGATTGATGAGTCCTCCCTTCTATGTATGTGTGTCCACACGTAAATTCAAATTGGTAAATAAACTGGGATGTGACATCATTTTTCGCATATTCAAGGGGCTTAGATAGATATATGGCTTTACATTCTCAATCATTATGGTATTAGCTGCATAAAAAGTCTTTTTAACCACAACAGCGTTCACTCTTTGTCTAGTTGTCAAGCTGCTATGATCACCCATCGTAGGGTAGCTTGATGTACACGTCTTTCTTAGCAGCGAGTTGGAGAGTGGGTCTTGGTGTTCCACTGACTACTTTATATCTCCTGATGAACTTGTCTGGATAATTATTATCAACCAGAGTTTGTGTCAACTTTCTTTCTTCCTCATCAAGTGTGTCTTCAGTGCATATTCGTTAGATTCTACTGAAGAGGCACCTAGCTGACTAAGTCTCTTTTGTACCGAACAGGGCAGAAACTGTGATAATTAAGATACTGTCCTGTCCAGGTAGATTTTCTATAAATAGATCGTTTTATTGATCCATCAAGCCATCGACTAAGCAATATATCTAGGAAAGATAAACAGACGTAAGTGATATGCTATTCTGAACTTCATTCATTCGATTTAAAATTGAGGTGGCAGAACAAGGCGCTTATCACTTATGATTACAATATCGTCTACATACCTTCTATAAAGTGGCACATTTTCCAACTAAATCCTCCGATAAACTCTCAATATACGACATATAGATATCTGCTAAAAGGGACCCCAACAGACTTCCTATAGCAACACCATCAACCTGAGGGAAACAATCGTTTTCGAATGTAAACCTGACATTGCTAGTACATAGAAGTAATAAATCCCTGAAATAAGTATTCATATTGTCTCTCTCATGACACTGACTACTTCCACCCCTTGATACGCATAATTTATGTCAAGTGTATATACATAAACACACCATTGAATTATTTCATCTCATGTTCTCCATTGACCATGCATACACAATTTTAACTTATCTTAACTGGCTAAAAGTTAGTGGATTTATAATTGTAGAGCCTGAAGAAGAATTTATTGAAAGCACTTATTCGCCCTAACGTCATTTTAGTATCTCTATATATAGCGAAATTATGTACAACTTAACTTCAGCGCCACACCATCTGTACAGATCTTCCGTGTTCTGCTACTTCTCGCCTTCCTTCATATTGTCTTTCTTTGTGTTCCTTTCACATGTCTTCCAATAAGTGAACCTACTGTTAAGTTTAGACCCATTGCTATTACCTCACCTTTTTTGAAAGTTATGGAAAGACTTATTTTACTTAATCTTGAACCCTCTTTAAAGCCTTTCAATGACCCCAACCAGTTTGCTTATAAACATACTAGGTGTAACTTAGATGCCGCTATTGTCTTATATCATAATATAGTCTCTATTTCAGATAGAGGAGCTAAATATGTTTGGTGTGCCTTCCTTGATTACACATCTGCATTTGGCTCTGTACCTAGGTCTCTCTTGCTAAGTAAGCTTGCTGCAACACAGAGTGAGAGCTGGACAAATAAGTGGTTGCATTCCTATTTTTCTGATAGGAAGCAGTACACCGTCTACAATGGAAAGTCCTCCACTACCTCACTTACTTTAGCTGGTGTTCCTCAAGGTGCTGTTCTTTCTCCTTTTCTGTTTTCTTTTTTCTTACATTGACTTGCCCCATTCTGATGTAGCCACTTTTGTTAAGTATGCTGATGACCTCTCTGTTTCCATGCCTGTCAACTCTCAGTCAGATTGTTCCGAATTAAATAACTTTCTGTCGGAAATTAGTCAGTGGTCCTCTTCAAACGGTCTTAAGCTGAATCCGTCTAAATGTCAGGTAGTCAGTTTCACTTTCAGACGAAAACGTGACCTACAACAACTAGCTAGCTCACATGGCCCCACTATCATTGACGGCATAGAGGTTGAAATTACATCTAATGTCAAGTACCTTGGACTGAGTATTTCCTCCGATCTTTCCTGGTCCTCTCACATCTTGCTAGTTACTAGAAAGATGTTTCGCTTAACGTTCTACGTTAGGAAGTTAAGGCAGTCTTTGCTTTCTCAGTTTGTCAATTCTTGTATTCTACCCATCCCTCTTTACTGCTCCCCATTAATCTTTCCTGGACTACTTAAGAAAGACTTTGCTTTGCTGAGAAGGGCACTAAAAGCTGTTAGTAGGGCAAGTGGGATATCGTTAAACCAACTGGTTAACACTATTGTGGATAGACATATAATGTCATGTAAGAAACTAGCGAATACTATATTGTCAGACCCTGAGCATCCTCTCTATACGCAGCTCTCTCCTTGCATTTCATCTGGTAGAACTAGAAGCAACTATAGGAGGCTATATGCTAGGACTACCAAGTACAAAACTCCACATTACCTTATCTGGCACAGCTGTTATGTGATGAGAAATCCGTTAGGTATGACACGATCAACTTACTGCGGCACTCTAACAATTAGTCCCATTAGTTTTTGTTTTCCTTTCTTCGTTACTATTATATTGTTGTTCACATCTTCTATTACACACTAATTTTATATTTCATATCCTGTGGTGCATTGTTTAAAAATGTAAACGCAACGCTGTTCTTTTTTATTTTATTTTTTGGTTGTTGCTTTTTGATTTTAAAATCTTATAAAATTTATGAGGTAATTAGATGCAATATTGTAATGCACGCTGAAAATTCCATACCTGTACCATAAATACTGTTTGGAATAAAGCTGTTATTATTATTATTATGTATCTCCGCAACGTTGTGTCATTTGATTTCCATGACATTAAATGTATCACCCGCCTAGTTGGTGTTTTTTTATGTCGATGAATGTCTCTTTATATACTACTGATAAATCTTATCAGTAATACATGCCACAACAGTGATGACAGATATTAATGACTAGGCCTACAAGATTGAATTATAACATTTTAATTTAGCATTATTCTGAAACCAGTGTGAAAATCAGGTATACTAGGCACTCAAAATAAAAAAATCAAATAACAGCCTTCTGTGGCTCCATACTGAAGATTAGATGTCCACTGAGAAAGGATTAGCGACAAGGAACTCTGGCAACCAGTGAACCTATCGCCAAGAAAATCGAGATGTTCAAGTACTGGTTTGAAAGGGATTTGATTGATTGGTTACAGGATTTCATCATGAGCTGACATTGGTTAAAGAACCATTGGAAAACCAGTCAGGGAGTACTGGACAGCCGGCTATTTTGTCAGACTAGTTTGGGACTCTTCATCAGTACGCACCCGCCGCCATGGTTCGAACCCAGGACCTTCCGGTTACAAGGCTAGCGAGCTCGTAGACCATTCACTCACTCGCCGGGAACCGATCCAATGTCCAGCCAACCCATGAATTTTAACTTCTGCCAATTCACGATATAGCGCGACCGCTAGCCAATGTCTTCAGCGAGCATTTGTCCTCACACCCGACCTGCTGCACCCTACTGGTCAAGACGTATTGAACACACACTGAGAAAAAGATGGTGCCAGGCCCTAGAGAGTGGATGGAACCCGAATAGGAAATGACAAGTTGGGGGCGTGGATGGGTTCGACGGTGGTGACATGGAAGAGATCGTGTTCTGAGGCTGCGGACAGAACAGAGTGAAATGGTGAAATGCCGCTGTAGTGTTCGCTAACTTATCAGATGACTCTTCATTTCTTTCCTCATTGCAAATAAATCAAACAAAAAAGAAAGAAAACGTGAGAATTGTTTTTAATCTTTGATTTTTTTTTTCATCTTCTTCTTGTAATCATTATAACAACATTTAAAAAATCCACACAAAAAGAAAAACTCAAGAAAAAAAAGCGAAAGGCTTCGATTGAAACCAACAAGGCAACAATATGGTGGTCATCAATTGTACACTATTATTATTACTAATATTATTATTATCAGATATATCTAAATGTCGTCATAAATAAAACAAAGGTGTATTAAGAGGCATAAAGTAATGATGATACATTTATTCATCCATATATATGTCTGTTTATCTAGCTATCTATCCGCCAGCCTATCGATCTATGTGTGATAAGTATGTCTTTTGTACATATGACTAAGCGAGACCAAATAATAATAAGAATAATAAGAATAAAAAAATTCAAATTTCTGACATCGATCGATAGCTGACTTGACTGGTATTTACCATAGGGCATATATATTTATATATATATGACTAATTTTAGACTGCCTACCATCGATCAATATGATAACAAAGATAATAAGAGACTATTTTAAGGCAAATGTTAATACAATTTTAATAATAGCAATAATAAGTATTGATTAGTAAGGCTAACTATAATAAGAATATTGATTTTATTTGAAACACCTATGAATATATACTTATATACCAATAAAAAAGGTAGTAATAATAATAATAATAATAATTGTTATTATTACTATTAAAATTGTGACTATTGATTGACTGGTGAAGAAAATTTCAAAAAGGGAAGAATTAAAAGTGGGCGCGTCAAGAGGGGTGGAGTGGGGAAGCGGAGACATTGGGCGAAAGAAACTATCTGTCAGATAAGAGTTATAACAAAGACAAGGTGTATATATTCATATTTATATAGACAGAGAAAAGAAGCCTACTGTTCTGTACACAAAAATATGCACACACACACAAATACCAAGATTAATTTCAGTCGTCATAGCTACATACATACATACACTACTTGACATTAACGAAAATATTAAAGTTTTTGATAAATGAAAAGGTAACCCATAGCATCTAATCATGTGAAGCTTATTTACCTTTACACTTGTTTGACTGGAAGACAATTGGACATGCGTGTGTGTGTATGTGTGTGCGTACCTTTAAGAGGACGCTTAAAATCGATAAAGTGGTTGATTCCTAGCACTTCTGTTATTATTGTGATTAGTAATAGCTGTGGTCGTGGTAGTAGTAGTAGTATTTGTAGTACCAATAGTATTGTTCAGATAAGCATTGTTTACAAACAACTTGGTCAGTTTACACGAAGTCGACTGTTTCCCTGGTTGATTTTCATAATTACTACTGCTAATACCGGTTTTCACACTAGTCTCTGAATCCTGGCGCTGTTGCAGACTATTCGATTCTATTGGTGACCAGACAATTTTAGGCATCATCATCATCATATTTGTTGAAGACGACGAAGAATGCTGATAAGCATTTAAAGGCATAAAACATCCACCACCACCACCACCTGATGTAATCTGTTGATCATAATTACTCTCTACACCGATTCCTGTATCCGGTGATGAATTTGTCAGCTCAGTAGATTTGTGTCGTGGTGATTGTAACAGTGCAGTGTTTGACACTACTGAGGGATCATAACAACCAGAGTTAATATGTGTTGTTGAATTGATCTGTTTATTCGACGATCGGATAAACGGATAAGGTCTGTGCACAAATGATACCTGTTGTTTCTGATCTGTACTAGTTGATGAAGGCAGTATTGTCGATTGGTAAAGACGTGATGTACGACTAGGTGTCCTAGGCGTTCTTACTGATGGGATATTATTATTATTATATAAAAGTGGCATAGAGGGTGGTGGTGGTGTTGGTTGTTCTTGGTGTAGTTGATTGTTAGAACTGGTGGTCATACAATTAGATGAGTCGGTATTCGTGGGGAAATAATGCGTCTCATGGCTGCTGTTATTATTACTGTTAGGTAAAGCAGTAGTGTAGTTTGATGAGTCACCCATTCGTGGAATAATCTGAATACGATTGATCATAGAAGTTGTCATCTCGTCATTTGACAAATTATTAGTTGAATGGAAGGCTGTAGTACTCCTGTGGTTAATGCCTTTCGTCATTGCAGTAATATTAGTGGTATTCGGAGTGGTGAGGCCGCCACCTATGATAAGATGATGAGATGATGTTGTTGGGCAGAAGATATTATTACCACCCAAAGACGGCATATCACTTTCGTATACGGGTCGATTTCTCGTCGAATTCACACTGACCGATGGATAAAGATGCGATGTAGACAAGCTTAGATGACGTCTATTCTGGCTCGGTGATGATATACTCTGTCTAGGTATAGGAGGATAGCAGGATATGTCGTTAGTCGTCGTGAACGCCGGCATTTTATTCCCTCGACTATAATCAGCATGAGTAACAACAGTAGCGGTCTTATACTGCTGCGTTGAATACTCCACCTCTTTGGGTTCATCGTAAATGCACTCCTCACTGTAATTAGGATTTTCATTCGTATAGCGTGTACAATTTTGTCTGTCCAGCATACTTGTCGAAGTAGTAGTCATAAACAATGGTCTGGTTAATTGATTTCCACTACAGGTGGACAGTGTTACTGCGGGGTGGTTAGAGGAGTAGAAGAACACAGGCGACGAAGGCTGTTTGTTGTTATTCGATGATAACGAAGACGGATACATCGATTGGTGAATCAGCTGACTACTTTTATGCATACTGGCGACTCCGTTTTCATGAGCCTTAACATTATTATTATTATTGATGTAGAGTTTAGGGGGGATAGTTTGTATGTAATGCTGTCCTGTCCTTGATGTCGTTGTTGTTGTCGTAGGTGGTGGTGGACGGGTAGCTCCATATTCATAAGATGACGACGTCAAAGATGTAGAAGAAGTGACACTGACAGAATGATTACACTGATGAACAGATGAAGGGGTTAAACTAATAAATGCCATAGAATTGCCACTATAATTATTATTGATTTTGGCACTGGTAGAAGTAGCAGAAGTAGTCGAATTATTCGGAAATATGTTAGACTTGTTATTATTATTATTATTCAAAATCGGTCTAGATTTAACATGACAACTAGACGACTGATGATCATTGGTTATCGGTTGCCATGGTTTCGGCGTAAAATTCAATTCTTTAGACTGTTGATAATAAGGATAATAGGAATTATCATTTCCAGTGGAATAGTTCACATTTAATTGATTCCATGATTGAGCCGGTGGTTGTATAGACGACGTTGAGGTGAACTGTTTAATCCCATCTCCACTGGTTGAACAATTTTCATAAGGTTTTGGACGAATCAATAAAACTGGTGCTTTACTCGTTATCTTAACTGGACAATTATTGATATTATTATTGCTATTACTGTTATTATTTCGTATTTCATGTTCAATTAACACTGGATTATAACTATTATTAATTTTTTTATTTGAACTGTATTGATTTATTGATTGTAATTTATTTAAATAGGGGGAAATAGGCGCTGATGCATTCATACTTTTCTCTTCATGACGTTGATGCAACGAGGATAAGGAATGTGAATGCATTGGAAAATGACCATTACGTACATAGAAGTAAATATCTTCAATTTCATCACACAATGCATTCATTTCATCTGTTTCACTAGCAAATATTGATGAAGAAAGACTTGAATGTGTATTAAATAAATGTGTATTATTATTATGATTCAAACAATTAGTTGAATGATAAAAATCAATATTATCGATTGGTGGAGAGGATGAAGAGGAGAAAGCACCAATAGGGATAGTAGAATTCAATGATAAATAATTTAATATTTTCGGTTGAATTTCATTCAACTGATGATATGGATCATTTGGGATATCATTGTGTTCTTCATGCATTGCCAAGGATGCAATCGCTGCTATACTCGTGACAGCTGATTGGATAGCGATTGTACCAAATCGATTTGTAATCGGTCCAAGTGTTCTAGTCAATGGAGTATATGAAGGACCAGTATTTGATGAATGACTTATATCTTCCAGATGTTTCAGTATATAGGTTAATCCTTGTACAGGATGACATGCAGCCAGAAAGTGTGAAACACGAAAAGCATGAGTTTCAAGTTCTCGACTATACAGTTGACATGTCGGTGAATCAGCTACTAGAAAATAATGCTGCATCAACATATCTGTAGTGACAACAAAGAAACGACTTTTCCCTGACATATTTGCCTCATTTTGATATATCGATCCAGTACAATCAGAGAGTGGTTCTAAGAATATCAAATCACCATGATGACAGGAGAATATTTGTAGTAGTGAATGCATATTTACAGAATCTGAATTAGATATCATGCCTTGATTTGTCAGTCTACCCATAAAGAACCATTCACTTGAACGTAAACCGACAACAGGACGTGTAATTATCGGCAATTGATAAGTGCTTAACAATGATAAGATACTATGAACACCATTATTACTGTAATTACTGTGATTATCAGTGATACTTTGATCAGTATGACTAGAATGCTTACTACTACTATTATTAGCAGTATTTGTATTGACACTTGAGCAACTGGATATATTTACAGGACTACACATTATTGATTTTGAAGCTAAAGATAAATAGACTAACCTTGGGCCAGTACTGAACCAATTCAAAGCATCCTGAGGTGATAAATTTGTAATGGAAGCAGCTAGGGCAGCTAACGCTTTCCCACCGACTACTGAACACTGAAGCATAGAAACTGGTTTCGATCGATAACGTGAAGAAAATCGATACGAAGAGGAAGAAGTAGTTTGATCATCTTTATGAATTAAACGACACAGACGACAATCAATCAATTGTAGTACAGTTCCAGGACGTAGAAGTCCAACATTATCTGCATCCAATGTTAAAGTGGTACGATCATCTTTTTTAAGTAAATCTGATGAACTCATAATAAGAGATTGAGCATTAGTAGCGAATAGACATTGAGTTTCTTTACGTAATAGAATAAATTTTGGTTTAGCTCTCCATACTGCTTTACAACTAGACCAAACTGGAACTTCAGGACATATTTGTGAACCAGTATCAGTTGGTCCAATTACACTTCTACGAACTAATTCAAACCAAGATGGACAACAGGAGGTAAGAACAACTGACTGTGAGCACGCCGATCCAAACTGACTGCCATTTACATCATTTTGACTACTACTACTACCACTCTTGTTGGTTGAGAGAGGATTTGTCATGTGTTGATGAGATGTTTGAGACCAATTCGATTTGCCAGCAACATTGTTTGGTAATAACCATTCTCCCTGCACCAGTGTGACACCAGGTACAATTTTCATAGCTAGAGCACGTTCATTTTTCAGTACACACCGACATCCTGGTTTACGACATTCGATTTGAACTAGACGTGATGGTTTATCCACTGGATAGTTGGATGATCCAATACAACTTTCCTGTTGAACAAGATCTTGGATTGTAAAACGCATGGAATCCAACAGTTGAGCCTTCCCAACACTGACCGGTGTTGTACTAACACCTCCACCGTTCCCACGGGTAATCCATTGAAAATGAGGAGCTGAATCATAAATATCCACAGCACAGCTCATATGATATGATATGAATGATACATGGTGTAGAACACGATCAATAAATATTTATGCACTAAAGCGGCATGAATTCTGTGTGTTTGTGTATGTGTGTCTATGAGTGTTTCGGGAATCTTGCACTTTATGTTACCATTGGTATGATAATTCCACAAGAAAGAAATGTGCTACGCATGCCGGTAACACACGGACCATTCCCAATCCTAAAGGCATGTAAAATGAAATAGCTTTCGTGTACACCTAAATTAATATTCTATTAAGCTTTATTTCAACCAATAAACACGAAGGTCATTTCTATGTTTTGTTAATTACCAGCTGATTTTACTGCATTTTGATTGGTTGTTTCAGACAGCAAAATTCTAGACCAATTAGAATTGTTCATTTAATATGGATGATTAGTTCATCAGTAAGATATACATGTGCATACACACCCACATGTGTGACATTAAACTTTTACACTAGTCCGGAGACTTCTTTGTTCACAGATTGGAAATACACCCAACCGGTTTCCCCAGGGTGACAGTGTTTTTTTTGTGTTCATCAAGTTGGATGTGTTTTTCTCTCCTTATTTCCTGTTGTATATCATTTTAAAAATTATAGGACGGGTAAAATTATTTAGTGGGTAATGAATGTAGGTTGTAGAATAACCTATCTTGGTTACCTCATATCCTCATATGCTCCGTCTAGGAATTTAAGACAATCAATCCGGTAGGCATTATTCAACCTCTACTTTTATACAGTTTGTTAACTCTTGTATCCTACCTGTTGTTCTTTATTGGTCCCTACCCATAATCTTTTCTACTGGGTTACTCAAAAAGGACTATGTCATATTGAGAAGAAGGGTATTAAAGGTTGTTAATAGGGTTGTAACAGCAGAAGGCAAGACATGGAAGCCAAGGTATCTTTTCAAGTAGTCAAACAGCTATTTATATTTATACAGTTTATATTCCCTAAGCGTGTGATTTTGGTCTACATTAAACGACATGAAATAGAATGTTCAAATATATGCATTTAGTATTCTGTTGCTAATGCCCTATTGAACTGTGGGAATAATATTCCGTTGGAACCCACTGTCTGGATCACACCACCCAAGGGTAAGTTGTATGCCATTTAGTCAGCTGGTCACTACTGTAGTCGACAGACAGCTGAACTCATGTGAAAAATGGCCTAAATCCATACTGTCTGACTCCCAACACCTCCTCTATTCTCATCTCTTCCCTCCACATGCATCTCATCATGTAGATGACTAGAAGTCATTATAAAGGAGTATATGCTCGTTCGTCGGTGACACAGCGGTAGAATGCTTGCCAAACATGCATATGATCCGGGGTTCGATCCCCAGTCGATGCACTCCCAAACCTCGCCAAGCCAGTAATAATAAAACTGGTAAAGAGGGAAGGTTAGGCATAAGGCTAGCAACCCCATTCCGTAAAAATGATAAACACCACTGCTACCGAAACTCCAAGCCTCTAGCTTGAAGCCCCCTATGTTCCACTGGGAACGTAAAGGACTAAAAAAAAGCCTTCGTACAACCAAGTGCAAAAACTCAGTAACACCCTAATTGGCCCACCCCCATTCTATGTGATAAAGATAGTTTTTAAGGTGAAACTCATGACTTGCCGTATAATTAACATAAGAAATTGCTCAGTTATCCTCCCATATTTATAATTTTGTGGTGACACTATCCCCATTGTCTTATAATTTTGTGTTATTAATAGTAATATTATTACTCTTACCATTTTATATTTGTATAATTTTGACCCTACTGTTTCTGCTAATGCCAAAAGTTGCTGTCATCGATTTTAGTTAAGTGTAACCTGTAATATTTTTTCCCCGTTGTTGTTGAGTAAATTAGATGCAATATTGTAAACAAAAATGCTGCGAATGCCACACTGTATTATAAGTACTGTTTTGGAATAAAGTAAATCATTATTAGTATCATTAATAAAGATCTGGATTCTGATAGAGTTCGAACCAGAGTGACTGCATATTACCAGTCTAGAGAGCTACTGGAGGAGTCAGCTACAAGACCCGGCTGCCAGCTAGAAGGTTATCATTCCACTGTAATAGCTACCATTGTGGTAGTATGATACAGACAATGTGTTCCAACGGAATATTATTCTCACATATTGCCACAGTCCAATACTGCATTAGCAACAGAAGACTATGTGTATTTGAACATTCTGTATTTCATGTTGTTTAATGGAAACCAAGGTCACACACTCATTGATTGGTTAAAGAATATAAAACTGCATTATATATATATATATATAAACAGCGGTTTGATTACTTGGAAACATACCTTGGCTTCCGTGTTTTGCCTTCTGCTGTTACACCATAAGTAATGCTCAATGATGGGATGATGCATTACTATCCCAACTCGGCAAATTGCAGTGAAGTACAGCTGAGCCATGGGGTGGGGTGGGTGGGCTGGGAGTAAGGTTATACGTATAAAGCAAGTTATCAAGTCGTGTGAAGATAAATGCAAGTGTAGAACCTGGTGACTGGTTAGTAGAATTTAATTCCATGTTATTATTATTATTATATTATTGTTTCCTTTCGTTCCTAGAGGAACATGGGGTTTTAGCCGCACATCTCTATTGCGTTCGGTTCTCTGCCAACGTTCCCGCCTGGCTCCACGTCTGCCAACATGCTTTCATCTCCTCTTCACATGGCCTCCTACTTTATATCACTGTCGCCCTGGCGATCAACTCGCCGCTTTCCATTCGGGTTCAACTAGAGCGATGGCCTGGCGTGTGATGTCACTCACTTAATGGTTTGTTTTCTCAGAGTATAACCTCCAATCCACCTGCATTTCTTCCTGCATATTTGTTGCACAATTGGTTCCTGCTGGGTTGGTTGGTTCGCTCATTGGTAGAGATCCCTGTTGCTGATCTTTTCTGGCCGGCCATCTGATCTTGAGTAGTATTGAGCGAAGACAGCTGTTGATGAAGTTCTTTAGTTTGTTTGAGGTGCTCTTCATGACGCGCCAACTGTCTGATCCATAGAGTAGCACTGACTTCACATTTAATTCCATGTTCCTCTAGTTTATTTCAAATATTACACAGTGATGATGCAGTGTCAGTAATTGGATGACAAGGTTTCCAGCATAAATTATTGCTCATAATCATAGAAATTTAGTCACACGGTTTTATAATTTTTCTAATGTATATTTCTCTCTCTCTTCACCTTGTTGACGCGAAGAGGAGATCAGAGATTATGGGAAATCGTGGGTCCAGCTGAAGAGGACGACAGAGGATAGAACAAAGTCGAGATGTGTTGTCGAAGCCTTATGTCCCACTCGAAAACCAAGAGAACAACAATAATAATATTATTTTTAATTGAATTTTAGATTTTCCCGTCGATTGATTGATTGGACCGAAGTGCTCGGTCTCAGGTTGACATGTCGGCTTCCTGTGCAAATGCTTCTACGATGTCTGGGCATGTAAAACGCATGGGCATGGATAACTCTTTGGCATTTGAAACAATGGGCACTGGGTTCGAGCCTCGGTGCGGGGAACACCATCTCTCACCGCGGAATGCAGGTACACCCAGTTGGCTGACGAGTCCCAAATAGGACGAAATGCGCGTTATCCTGGTGGATTCCACTGCTAGTCACCATCCACCAATTAAACAATAACAATAATTATAATATAATTAGAATTATGAATTCACGAAACCAGACCCCCACCCTAATAGTAACAATACATAGATACAGTAGTAGTCAGTTCCCTTTGTCAATCATTTTGTAAGAAACCACTTGAAATTTGTTAACTCTAACATTCTTCATTCTTCAGTATATAAGCCTTAGAACTTCGAGTGCTGTCAAAACGAGACAATCTCCTCATTTAGTATATATGCGTTTGTGTGTGTGCATGTTTGTGGTATGAAAATGCACAGACAATGAATAAAATCTGTTTTTATTGTCCTGCCACGTTTTTTTCCCTCATTTCAGTCTGTATTTCTTTATTCACAAATTAAAGTACTCCTGTCATTAGAAAAGCATGAGTCATACACCGAAAAAAATCAATATATATTCAACCAGACATATGTCTGACCTTGAAGTATGCATACGGCATATTCATTCATTTATTTATTCAGTGGTTCAATACGCACTTGATTTGAATATTCACTATTCAATAAAACAAACCCTTGAAGTTTAACAATAAGTATTTCATATAAAATAAGTACTCTAATCAATAAATAGACTCACAAAAATAGTTGATAATTAGAAGGACGGAGCGTACTTAAGTGTTTTTCACCATGTCAAAAGGTGCATAAGCGTCTAAGGCCAAGTTAAACTTTAAGCACCACTAACTAACTACCAGTGGAGTGCGACCGCACCAATGACCTTGAAACGCTCACTGAGCAAGTTAGTGAAACCTGGCAGATAATGTTGTCATCATCAATAAAACATATGCTCATCGAAGTGTTATGATGTTAAATGGGATATCTGGGAAGTTTCAGCCTAGGTTTGGGAAAGATTAAGTTAAGCTTTTAGCCAAGGACAAGTTAGGGTTAAGTTAACCCTATAAAAGCGACATTAGGGTTAGTTTAGGGATATGTTCACGTTAGGACTAGGTTCAGGAAAGATTAGGGTTATTGTTAGGGTTAGAAGACCTAAATAATTCTATGCATATGTAACAACAAGAAGGTAAGAGTCAGGCAACAGATCATTTATTAGGGAAATCAACGCATATTTATATATTTTCATGTACATTACTATGGATATTTAAGTAAACAAACACAGTCTTCTGATTGGTTGTTTCTCACGTAAAGTTAATCTTTCATCTATTTGTGACTGTTTCTTGAATGTCAAATCCTCTATATGTTAACTGCATCCGCCTACGCAAAGTCTGCTGTAGTCGGTTTTGAATCAATCTTTGTTCACATTTTCTCACGACAAATCTTGGGAACGTAAATATTGACGTAAATTACTTTCTACCAATTTGGCTAGTAGACAGCTCTCACCACACATATAATGTGGTCAAATTTCTCTGTTGATATAAGAAGAGAACTTGCGCACTGCGGCAGGGTATAATTCCATTGTGGGTAAAATTTATTTTGATAAAGTCTCACAGTGTTTGTTATACAGTAATATTTACTGATGACCACCTTTCGAGCACAATTTATTGCTCTGCAAATATTGCTGTATTACACTATGAGACTTTATCAAAAATAAATTTTACCCACAGGGGAATTATTCTCTGTTG